GGTCCGTCTAGGGACTGCAGTACCTTACACCCACACACCTGCCAGGGAGCGAGCGGCCAGGGCTACTACAGCTGCGTCTGCCCTCACTTCCATTCTGAGTGACGACATGGGACTCTGACGGCCTCCTGAGAGGCTGGAGGGGTGTGGTGGCCACTGTCCCCAGGACAGCGGCGAGCGCCAGAACTTTCCCTGTGAACTGATGACCTCTGGGGACCCAGCTGTAGAGCAGGAGGACAACCTGGGGGGCTAGCCCTACTCTGCTGAGGCACGGGGCACCAAGCCAGGCAGATGAGCCACAGGAGCAGGGGAGCTGGTAGGAAGCTCGAGGAGGCCACTGGGCCTTCAAGGCCCCCCCCCACCCCCCAACTGAGGGAAACGGGCAGGCTGACCCTACCTTCGTCCTCAGGGTCCTGTTCCTGCTCTGTGCTGGCGTAGGTGCCCAGGAACTCAGCGAAAGCCCCGTCGCGGGCCAGCAGCTCCTGGTAGGAGCCCATCTCTGAGACCTTGCCTCCACTCATGACGATGATGACATCCACCTGTGGCAGGTAGCTGATGCCGTGTGTGACCAGGATCCGCGTCTGTGGGCAAAGCGAAGGCCACATCGGCACCCGTGTGAGCAGCCCGCCCCAGCTTCGCGGCCCGAGGGTCTGCAGACAGAGCTTGGTCTGAAAGCAGCGGACGCAGGCATCCACATGGGAACACGCAGGGGTGTTCATTACTATTTCTAGGCAGCGGGGTGATGTGTAGTTGCTTTTTTAAAGATTCCTTTTTCCCTTTTAATAAAAGATGTTTGAAATCTTCTTCTGCATCTCCATGGTGTGAAACTCCATAGTGAGGGGACTGCTTTTGGAGTGGAACTCACGGTGCCCAGCCAGTGGCCCGGACAGCTATCGGAATCAAGGAAGACAAAAAACAGTGGCGTGTCCCCACCCGCCTCTCCAGGAGGCATGAAGCTATTCATTCCTAGGCCTCAGGCGCCTGGCCCTCAGCCCTGGCCTCCCTGGTCAGCCCTGGGAGCTCCCGGGAAGGGATGTCCTTCTGCCAGGCTGCCCCATGACTTAATCGGGAAGAGAGACACCTCTTGGCCAACTGGGTGCAGTCGGCGCAGAAGACTTACCCTATAAAGACAGGCGTGAGCAGGGTGCCTCAGGAAGGGCTCCAAGGTAAGCAAGCATCAGAAATTTGCTTTTAAAGGCCAGTTAAAAACAGGCTGGGGCAGCATGGATTCCCACAGGGAACACAGCCTGGCTTAACCAAAGAGGGAAAGAAACACACACGTGTACACACACACACACACACACACACACACACACACGTCACCCAGGCCCCATCGTAGGCCCCACTTCCAACAGTACCTTGTTTTTCAGCATCCCCTTGGGGCCCACCACATTTTCAAATATGTGCTTTCCCACGTGGGCGTCCACGGCCGAGAGAGGGTCATCCAAGAGGTAGACGTCGGCGTTGCAGTACACAGCCCGGGCCAGGCTCACACGCTGCTTCTGACCCCCAGACAGGTTCACGCCCTGGGGAGAGAGGGCCGACACCAGGGGAGGGTTTTCTAGAAAGCCCAAGAAGTGCAGCCAGGCCCCCCCAGGGTGGCCTGCTCAGAGGTCGTGGGGGCAAGGAGCCTGCTTCTGTCTCCTACTCATTCGGTTGGCGGCCATGCCCGTTCCAGTGAGAAGGCTGTCCCCCTCGTAGGTGGACATCTGGCCCCCTCCCCCTCTCCTAAAGAATGCTCCCCCCCCCCCACAGGCCCATCTGCAACCGGTCATGGGAACGGAGGGAGCAGGGCTAGGCAGCACGGGGTGTCCTTGCGCCTGGAGTCACCATGAGTTGGGGCCCCCTCCACAGTGGGGAACACCCACGCAGACTTCTTTCCCCCTTTGTCATGTGACTTTGTGGACAGAAAGGCACAGAGAAAGCATTTTTTTTAAAAAGGGACACGTGCATTCTGTGCTTTGAGTGTGTGTTTCTTCTGTCGCCCCGAGAGGAGCAGCCCTGCGGGGTCCTTGCTGCGCCCTCAGCCTGGGCCTCCACGGGAACTCATGGGGACCAAGCCAAAGCCAAAACTGCAGCCGGGAGCCCAGCCCAGCGGACACCCAGCTGAGCCCTGCCTGGGTCGGAAAGTCGACTCGGAAAACCCCGCACAGAAGAACAGTCCTGTTGTTGTAGGCCCCTGTGACTGTGGGTGTTTGCCACACACCAAGAGCCTACTGACTCCAGAGACCAGAGCGGAAGCCAACAGACCTTCTCGCCAATCTCCGTGCGGTCCCCGCTGGGCAGCATCTCCAGGTCTGGCAGGAGGGCACAGGCCTCAACCACAGCCTGGTAATACTGCTCCTGCATCTGGCGCCCAAAGAGGATGTTTTCCTGGAGGGAGTCATTCTGGATCCAGGCCTGCTGGGGGACGTAGGCCACCGAGCCCTGAGTGGTGGACAGAGACGGGGAGAGAGCAAGAGGAATCGATCAGGCGTGACGGCCACACCTCACCTGCCACGGGCATCCTCCCTCCCACACAAAGAGAGAAAGTGAGTCACGAAACAGAGCTGGGATGAGCGCCCATGCTGGCCAGCGGCTGTCTCTGTTCTCAAGGTTGAAAGGGCTGCCGCCGGCTCGGATGAGATCACGGTATATATTTAGGGATTCTTGACTGAGTGGCGGCAACGGTGGACAGAGCCCCTGCCTCCTCAGAGTGGAGGACCACGGCACGATGCACACAATGAAGCGATTCGGGCGGTGGCAGCTGCCAAGAGCTAAAGGGCTTTCAGAAGGAGGAGTGCCGGGAAGGAGACCTGGAGAAATGTCCCTGGAGGAAGCCCAGGCTGGGGCTGCTTCTGCATCCAAACAGCCGACTGCAAAGGAGGACTCCTTTCCGGTTCACACCAAGTGTCAAGAAGGGCACGAGGGCCATTTCTTTACTAGTGAAACGAACGAAAACACTGGGATTCAACTTTCAGAAAAAGACGTAAACAAGGGCGGACAGGGGGACTTGAGTGAGGCGGGCCAAGAGGGTGGGGAAGAGCATTCCAAGCCGAGGGATAGGAACCTGCAAAGGCCAGGAGGCGGGTATTTCTTGGGACATTCACGAAGCAGAAGTCTGTGGGAGGCCAGCACCGGGTGCAGGCAAGACAGCCAGGCCATGAGCTGGAGGTGGCAGGGGTGGGGCCAGCTTCTGGGGCGCTGGTGCTCACGGGACTGCGGGTTTTTATCAGGTAGGCCAGGAGGAGCCGTTGGCCTCTCAAGGATAGACTGTAAGCACCCTGACCCTTAATTTTAATTCTCAGATAAATAACTGTTAGGGATCATATGTTGTGCTTCCCCCAACCCCCACCCCCCACCCCCAATATGCTTTGGAATCCTGGAGACAGCCAATGGGTGGCACAAAGGTTTGTGTACAGGGACTGAGCTAAAAGCTGGCAGTTTAGACGTGGGTTCCATGGTGCCGTGGAATAAAAGCCTGGCTTTCGCCTACTTCTCTGAAGTTCACAGCCAAGGCAGACCTATGGAGCCGCTCTACTCTGTACCACCCGGATGACCTTACGTCTGTACCACGTCTCCTGCAGGAACTTTCTATCTGTGCACATAATCCAATTGGGAAGCAGGTTTCCTTTGGTACGAGAAAGAGGCTGTTTTTAACCGACCAGGGACAATCAGCTTTACGGAGTTTGGTTCCTAACTACGTTGTATGTGAGTCAGGTGTGGTTATCCAGGACCTCCTGCCTGTAGTTGGGAGAACGCTGTATCTTTAACACCCGATTAAGAATTTTTTAAAAATTCAATAAAGGATCGTAGAATTTAAACTGGCCCTTTAAACAAACAAACAAACAAACAAACAAACAAACAAACAACTCTTCTTTGAGAATATCCCAACAGCGTGGATTAAAAAGTGCCCGTCTCATGAGAGACCCACAGCAGACCCAGCCAGAGGAGGAGCCGAGAGAGGCGTCGAGGAAGAGGCCAAGAGACAGGCACACAGGGGGAGGCGAGGCCAGGGGGGCATGCCTGTGTAACTAAAGATCGAGCACCAGCCAGTGCACAAATGAAATCAACAAATACAAACCCCTTACTGCCTGGCCATCCTTTTTCCTTTAAATATATCTCTATCTCTCTATGTTTAAATTTCAGGTGAAGTTTTCATTTGCTTTGTTTCAGGTGAAGGTTTACCACAGCGCTGTGGGTTACCGTTCAACTTCTACACACGTTGGCTCCGTCTTTATCAGAGGGCGAGCATTCTAGCTCCATTCTAGATCTATCTGGCTTCCACGCACCGAGTTGCCCTGCCACCTTACACTCTCCTCCTTGTTGGAAAGTCCCTCGTGAGTAGCTGGCCCCACACAGGTGATCTTTGCCACAGGGGCACGGTACTCACAGTCCTTTTATCTTTAGAACCAATCTGTTTCTTAGCTGGAAGACGATCTCAGGGGTGAGTTGTCGTAGGGTCGGACCTGGCTCACGGGGACCCCCGGCCCCACCCACCCCCGATACAGAATAGACCTCGGCTTCACTGGCCTCTCTTGACTATTGTCTCCATGGAGGCCAGACACCGGGCCTTGCTTGTGCAGTGCTGTGAGAGTCACTGGCAGTTGGGCACAAACTGCACCATCCAGAGATCTGTGACGTGAGGATGTGCCATCAATGGAGGACACCCATCCCCCTACCTTCTACAATGATGGGGAGCGTAACAGAGGGAATGAGACAGAGACAGAGTGACTGGGAGAGAAGGACCCTGCTCTCCCGCCTCCGAGAGCACGGGGACTGGACGGCTGTGCAGAGGTGCTGCGGCAGCAGTCCTACCATACCCCCTTCTCCTCCCGCCGCCCCAAAGCCCACCGTACCTTGATGGCCACGTGCCCCTCCATCTTGTCCATCTCGGCCAACAGTGCTGAGAGCAGTGACGACTTCCCACAGCCCACTTGGCCCACCACGGCCACTAAGGCACCTTCCGGGACCGAGAAGGTGATGCTGAAAAGACACCAGACACCTGTCAGGCCGGCGCACATGGTCTGATCGAGCCGGATGACCAGAGGCCCCTGCCTGCTGGGACCTGGGTCTGGGGGCGGGGGAACCGAGTGGAGGCAGAGTGAAGGCAAGGTAAGCACCGTTCCTTTCTCCTACGGCAAAGCGGCAACGGTGACGTGCAGCACTTGTACCGAGCTCTGGAAGTCATTAGAGCGTTCCTAACCCAAAGGCGCTGTGTGGGAGGCAGCTGGCCAGCGTTAGTGAGCCCAGAGGTGGATCCCTGGGCTTGTGGGCAACATTTGTCCACTTGGGAGTCAGTCTTTTTATGCTGTGAGCTCCGAGCGGGCTCCAGAAGAGAGACCAGTGTCAGGATGGGGCCAAGACGTGGGAGGGTGGGGAGTCTACGTCGATGCTGAAGGTCGTCTTGGGGACAGGTTTCAGCAGAGCTGCTGGACTAAGAGGCTCGGTAGAAAGGCCTGGTGACCTGCTCTGGGAAAGGAGCCCATGAAAACGACACCAGTGGAGAAGTCTTCACGCTTGGGGGTGCGCAGTGAGTGGTGCAGCTCTGAGGGGAGTTGGACAGGCCCCGCAGCCAACAGGGCGCAGCTGTGAGGTCACCACACTAAGCAGGGAGCCCGCGTTCGGCTGCACAAGGGGACAGCAAGCGCTGAAGCCAACTGGAAGGGGACTGGATCACGGGGCCAGGAGGAACAGGGGAGCAGGGAGGTGGCCACTGCCACTGCCCAGGCAGAATGTGAGACATTTTCCAGACAAAGGAGAGGAATGCATTAGACAGGTGTGGCCAATAAAGGGGAGCGATGGCTCCGACCAGGAGGGCCTTTGAGACCAGGAGGATGGAGGGACGCTGTGGACACTCAAACCCACTGTCCTTTCAGCTGGTCCAACTCACAGGACCCCATAGGGCCAGGTAGAACAGCCCCGTGAGTTCCCTAAGGCTATAATCTCCAAGGAAACAAAAGGCCACATCGTCTCCAAGCGCTTAACCGCTTCACCACTAGGACTCCTTGGGCGTAGGCAGAGAGGTGGGTTATGCCTGTGGGGTAGTACACGGGAGTACAACAAAACTGTGGCAGGTGACATTTAAGCTAGACATAAGAAGGAACTTCCTACACATGCAACCCCATCATGGATTTTCAAGGGAGGTTTATACCAACTCTCTTTTTTAACGCCTATAGTTTTACCCTCTAGGCATTATATAGCACAGTGGTTCTCAACCTGTGGGTGGCGACCCCTTTGGGAGTCAACTCTTTCACAGGGGTCGCCCGATTTAACAGTAGCAAAATTATAGTTATGAAGTAGCAACAAAAATAATTTTATGGTTGGGGGGTGGGTCACCAAAACATGAGGAACTGTATGAAAGGGTCGCAGCATCAGGAAGGTGGAGAACCACTGATCTAGCAGGTACTTGCTTAGTGAGGCAGAGGGTAACCATGCCCCCCTCCACCACCAGAAGGTCTCTTTGGACTCATTTTGGGGACTCTGTCAAGGTCTAAAGAATGGCCGAGTAAAGGGGCTGTGTGCTTTTGGGTGGGCGGGGAGCCAGGGAAGGGTGAGCTGGGTGGGGGGCATTGACCCGAGTCGGGTCCTTCTTGGCAGGCTCCCAGCCTCAGGCCTGGCTGGCAGGTGTGCTCTGTCCCTGGTGGTAGGTTCTGGGAGGCACAGGTGACCCAGTGTCTGCTAGAGAGACGGCCACAGGTGCGCAGCTGTGGTGGTCACTGGCCACCAGCAGGGAGAAGCTGAGTTGGAGCCTCTGGAGTCTGTGTGTGACCTCTCTGTCACCAGCCATCAGAGGGAGCCCTCTGGGCCAGGCGCTCTCTTACCAACTCAAGCAGGAAGGACCAGCTGTATTTTCCAGGTGAGTGATCTGAGGCTCACCAAGGCAGCATGGGCCGTGCCGGTCCCAGAGGTGGCACCTGGCTGGGCTCAGAGGTGCCTGTGAGGGTGTGTGCGTGCATGCGCGGGGCCCAGCTTACCCGTTCAGCGTCGGGGGGTCGCTCCTGGACCAGGTGAAGGAGGCATTCTTCACCGTAATGCTGTCCGTCCCCCCACCTGGAAAGCACCAGAGTGTCAGGGGGAGGTGACAGGACAGGATGTCCAGCACCAGGAAGCGGAGGACGCTCTTCTCGTTCCTTATTCTAGTCAAGGGACTCAACAGTCGGCAGTAAGCAGGTGTGGTCACGGCAGTCAGTTTCGGGGAGGACCTGCGCTGGCCCCTCTGCCCGGAGAGCAGGTGGGGGTCTTTAACAGCAGACAGGAGACGCACAGGGCAGCTGCAGAGGCGGGTGGGCTCGCAGGGTGATTTGCTGCCGGGGACCCTACCGCCTGCCAGGGCAGGTCTGCTGGGGGCCTGAGCAGAAGCCACAATTACATAGCCCTCCCTTACATACAAAGCAGGACCCTCAGCCATTCCACACCTGGATCAGCCTGCCAGCTACTCCTGTCTCCTCTCTGGCCACCCTGCACCTGTCCCCGCACACCCCACTCTCTCTCCCTCTCACACACAGCTGGGCACAGACGATGAGGAAGCATGGTGTTAAGGCTCTTGGGGTGCGGGGTCATGTTTGACCACACGTTCGGGCTACAGGACCTCTGAGCCAGCAGCTGATTTTGCTTGCATTTCCTCTCCAATTCCCCCTAACATCACATCGCTCATTAAGTCCTCAGTCTATTAAAATGTCTCATCGAGACCAACTTCCAAAAAACCACTTGGAGAGAGGAAGAGGCTTTCCCCCTCCCCTTCTAAATTTGGCAAAGGAACAGACAAGTGCCCCACCCATTAGAGAGATTAAAACCACCAATAAACAAGCTGCCAACTGCTTCCCTCCTGTCGCTGGGGCCAGGGCAGAGGGCGGGGACTGGGAGGTCAGACACAGCTGCCCCGAAGAAGGTGTGGACCAACACCTCGGACAGACAGCACACCCTCGAGGGCAGGAAGGCACAGAGAGGCCCGGCACACAGGTCTGGGATCTCCCTCCTCCTGCTAGGAGCCCTGACCACCTCTGCAGCAACTTGCACCTCCCCCAGCACCTCAGATGTCAGCCACAGAGAAACGGGCCCGAGGGACATCATTGTCCTTCCTCCGCTCGCTGAGGGTCCTCGCTCAGCACTGCAGCCAGGGGCGTGAGGAGGAAGATTCGAGCATCCACTCACCCCAGGGCATGTGGCATCGCCTCAGAAGTCCCTTGGTGGCACAAACTGTTAAATACTTGACTAATAACTAAAAGGTTGGCAGTTCTAATCTCCTACCCAGAGGTGCCTTGGAAACGGGCCATCTGCTCCCCACAGGCTGCTTTAAAAACCCTAAGGAGGTATGTGGTGCTGTGGGTGAGGGGCTAGGTTGCTAACAGGCAGGTCAGTGGTTCCAACACCCCTAGGTGTCTGCTCCCATAAAAGATTCTCAGGCCTGTTCCTCGAAGCTCTTCAGCACCATGACTCCTGCTGCTCTGCCCTAGAATTCCCAGGATCCAAACGCACGGCATATCTCCGCAGCAGGGAAACTCTTCGTGGGAGGCCTCCATTTCAACGCTGATGGGCAGGCGTGGCAGGTCCACTGCAGCTGCTCCGGGCCTCTGTGAGGTGGCCGATGGCAAGGATCGGGAGCCGGGCAATCCTGGCTTGATCACCGTCACCGATCCAGAACATGCTTCAGATGCTGCAAGAGCTGTGAGTGCAGGGTCCCTGGATGGTCACCGGACCCGCGTGGAGCACGTGGGCACCACGGGGTGACTTGGGCACTCATGGGCGTGGCCACAGTGTGGTGGTGGGGTCCAGCAGGTATGACAGTCGGTCTGGGGGACACGGGTATGGACATGGAAGGTCCAGAGCATAGAGTGGCGGAAACCACAGGCATTAGGACACCTGGAATGAAGCCTGCACAGAGTTCGATACACAAGGAATGAAAATTCTTCCAAACCAGGACCGTCCTTCCAGATGGCTATATTTATCACAGATTTTTGAACCCTGCACGGAAGCATCTTTGTTTCGATGCATCAACTTCTATTTTTGAATCAAGCCCTGTGGCAGTTACATCATTTCCTGTCAGAGAAGGGGTGGAGTCTGGCCTGTCAATCAGATCCTAGCCAATGAGGCTTCCGTGTGGGCCTGGCCTTCTCCAGAGGATTCTAGGAACCCCTATCTTGCTCCCTGGAGCTTCTTCTTCCTGCTGACAAGCCACATGGAGCTATGCTGATGGGGCCAGGAGCTGGTGGAGCTACATGGAGACTCACGCCAGTGCTGAGATGCTTCTACAGCCACTGGATCCGTAAGACTTTCCATTCACTGGCCTGCGATCTTCCTGCACTCGGTGTCATTGCAAGGCTGCGTTAGTCTGAAGAGGAATTTATAGACTGGTATCTGATATATGAGGTAATATTGGACTTATGGACTTGAACTGGACTGGGCTGGGATGTTTTCTTAATATACAATTACCCTTTCATATAAATCTCTTATATATACATGAGCACTGGCTCTCAATCTTCCTAATGCCACCACCCTAACCCTCCAACCATAAAATGATTTTCGTTGTTACTTCATGACTGTCATTTTGCTACTGTTATGAATTGGGTGACCCCTGTGAAAGGGTCATTCGACCCCCAAAGGGGTCTTGACCCAAAGGTTGAAAACCACTGTCGATGAGTGTCTTGGATTTGTTTCTCTGGTCAACCCAGAATAACACAAGGTTCCAAGTAAGGTAGCTTGTTAAAGGCTTTTTAGTAAACTCCATATGCTTTTAAAAAACTCTTTTCTCCCAGTTAAAGACAAGTTCTGAGGCATGTGCAGAGACTGGGAACTTTTCTTTTCACCAGTGTTTCAGTTTGGGCACTCAAGATTATTCTGGTAAGAAATTTCAGCAAGGCTGGATTTTAGATTATTGAGTATCTAAGATCATTTTGAGGAGCCCTGGTAGCATCGTGGTTATGCCTTGGGCTGCTAACCTCCAGGTCAGCAGTTCAAAACCATCAGCGGCTCCATGGGAGAACGATGAGTCTTTCTACTCCCATAGAATGTGACAGTCTCGGAAACCCACAGGGGTAGGTCTACCCTGTGCTACAGGGTCCACATGAGTTGGAATCACCTTGATGCAGTGAGGTTAGCTTTGACTTAAAGATTATTTTGAAAGTTTTGCCCAATGTTTCGTTATCATGATTAGAGAGTCCCCACCCCAAACACTGCTCTTGGACACGCACTCCCAAAGCCACAGCACCCTACCGTCGGCCCCGCATCTCCCAGGCACCAGGCCCTGCTCACTGCTGATGCTGGTTCCTGACAGTCCTGCCTGAGCCCTGAAGCCAGGCTGTGTGGGTTCAGATCCCTGCGCAGCCACTCACGAGCTGGACCAAGGTCAAGGTTGCTGAACGCGTCTAGGCCTTCGTCTGCGTGGGGATAAATTGGTCCTCCTTTGGCCGTGGGCGGAGTCCATCAGGCCACACACAGAGAGGCCTCGGCACCGCCTGTTTTTAAAGGGCTTCGTGTGAACTACGCTATCCTCAATTTTCTAGGCTTAAAAAAAAAAGAAAGGGTTAACAGGATCATGTTGACATACAGTGAGTTGGGGTGATGAAGAAAAATCTGCCATAAAAACTTGACAGTGTTCCCCAGGTTTTCAACGAATGGGTCAGCTTTCCATGATAACCAATAGGAAGTAAGGAAATATAATTTCCTGTGCAGTCGAGTCAAACAGTTCGGTATTTTTTTTTTTTTTACATTTTATTAGGGGCTCATACAACTGTTATCGCAATCCATACACACATCAATTGTGTAAAGCGCATTTGTACATCATTCTCAAAACTTTTTCTCTCCACTTAAACCCCTTACATTAAGTCCTCATTTTCTCCTCCCTCCCCGCTCCCCCCTCCCTCATGAGCCCTTGATAGTTTATAAATTGGTATTTTGTCATATCTTGCCCTGTCCGACGTCTCCCTTCACCTACTTTTCGGTTGTCCGTCCCCCAGGGAGGTGGTCACATATAGTTCCTTGTAATCGGTTCCCTCTTTCCAACCCACTCTCCCTTTACCCTCCCTGTTTTGCCACTCACACCACTGGTCCTGTAGGGCTCATCCGCCCTGGATTCCCTGGATTTCCAGTTCCTATCTGTACCAGTGTACATCCTCTGGTCTAGCCAGACTTGCAAGGTCGAATTCGAGTCATGGTAGTGGGAGCGGGGAGGAAACATTTAGGAACTAGAGGAAAGTTGTATTTCTCATCGTTGTTACATCGCACCCTGACTGGCTCATCTCCTCCCCGAGACCCCTCTGCAAGGGGATCTCCAGTGGCCTACAAATGGGCTTTGGATCTCCACTCCGCACTCCCCCCATCATTCACTATGGTAAGATTTTTTGTTCTGATGATGCCTTACACCTGATCCCTTCGACACCTCGTGGTTGCATAGGCTGGTGTGCTTCTTCAGTTCGGTATTTTTAAACAGCTAAGAAAAAGCTACCGCTTTGACATCCGTGCCCCCACCCCCACCCCAAAGCTTGGTGTCTTTTCATCGTCCTGTGAAACTCTGTTATTAGCAGCCGTCCAGTCGGTTCTGACTCGCAGCCAGCCTCCCTCAGCACCACAGAACATTCCGGAATGCTGCCCCGCCCTGCGCCAACCTGGACACCATGACTACACTGCAGCCCATGTTGGCAGCCGTTACACCAACAACTCACGTGCCTCCTGATCACACATCTAAGGTAGGTGAGGCCGAGTCTCGCCACCTGGCTTCTGAGGAGCATCCTGCCTGTACTTCTTCTAGATTCCGTCCTTTCCCAGGTCGTCTAGTGGATATCTGTCACCAATGCCATCATTCTGAGGCCTGGATTCGTTGCTCTTCCTTCTCCGCGGCCCAGCCTTCACGTCCACCCAAGATCAGTTAAAGACCATGGTCAGCCACCCCTTCCTGCTCATGGGGACATGTTTGCCTTTGAACACTTTAAGGAGGCCCTCTCCAGCAGATCTGCCCAACCAAAGGGCATTCTTTCATGTCTTGACCGCCACTGCCACAGGAGCTGGTTGTGGATATCGACGAAACAAAGTCTCTGATAATTTCCGTCTTTTCTCCATACATCACGATGCTGATCATTGGTCCAATGGTGAGCGTTTTTGCTTGCTTTGTGATATATTGTCATCTATACATCAGTAAGTGCTTCAAGTCCTCCTCTTCCCGTTCAGCAAGCAAGGTTGTGTCATCGGCACCTCACAAGCGGTGTCTGAGCCTTCTCCAATCCTGACGCTGCGTTCTTCTTCAAATCCCTTGGGTTATTTATGTAGCACAAGACAGGGCGAGTATGGTCCCCGATGCAGCTCTGCCACACACTTTTCCTGCACTGAAACCACGCAGTACCCTCTTGTTCTGTCTGAGCAACTGCCTCACAGTCTGGATACGGGTCCCTTAGGACCACAATCCAGGGTTCTGGAATGCCAATTACTCACTCTATGAAACGTGATCGTTATGATCCCCCACCCACCTCCCCCCAGTGAAATGCCTTTGCATAGTCAATAAAGCAAGGAAATATATTTCCAGTACTCTCTTCTTTGAGCTAAGAGCCATCTGATATCCGAAATGACAGCCCTCATGCCATTTCTTCTTCGGAGTCTAGTTTAAGTTTCTGGCAGTTCTCTGTCAAACGTCCTGTGCCCACCGTCGTTTGATGATGTTCGTCCACGTTTCTCTTGCCTGTGATGTTAACGGTTTGATCATGTCTGCATTCTGTATTGGCAGCTCTCTTCGGGGTGGGCACAAGTACAGATCGCTCCCAGTTGGTTCGCCAGGTGGTTGCCCCCCAAATTTCCTGGCACAGTTGAGTTCGTGCCGCATCTGTTTGCTGGACTGTCTCAGGTGGCATCCCACCAATTCCTGGGTCCTTCTTTGTCCTGTTTGCCAGGAGCCCTGTTCTGCTCCGATGCCGCCAGTGCAGCTTGGAATCTATCCCAAGCCAACTTTCCACGGCACAAACACTTAACCCGAGGGGCAGCGGTCTAAAAACGTGCCATTTTCATAAAGTTTTGGCATATTGTGTTGCAGACCACTGAAATTTAAAAAATCTCACTGGATGCAAACTAAATACATGAGCACAATGTTTGGCACACAGGTCAATCCACTTCAGCGAGGCAGCCGTCTAAAGCTTGAAATACCGGCTTCATCCGTAAACTGGGCCTCTACTTGCTCTTAGCGTCTTACTCAGCCATCTTACTTGGGCCAGATTCCCAACTGTAAACTAGGACTGGGGAGGAGTTCCTGCCTTTGGAGACTTAGAGCCATGGCATGAGCTGAGCGTGAGTGGCCACTGCATTGAGTGCTATTTGTGAGTTAATATATAGAAGTTACTTGTGTTTATTAGCACATGGGGTGTCCAGAGGCTCACCTACAAACAAGATCCCTGCTCTGGGGATTCAACCGGAAAAGGGTAAATCAATAAGCTACCAAATTCCAAAGTGACTGGTAAAACTCACCTAACACCCCGTTCAAGGAGGGCATCCCTGCTACCCTCATTACCAGGTGAGAAAACGGAGGCTCTGAGTGCAGTGGCCGGTGCAAGCACGCACAGCCAGTGGGTGGTGGAGGCTGGTCAGACGCCAAGGCTTTCACGTGGCCGTCTTCTTGTCCAGGACAGATACAAGGTCGCCTCCCACGGGTGAGTTCACCCTCTTGGAATGAGTGACACAGAGAGAGGTCCCCCCCCACCACCCCCCTCTGCAGAGACCTTGCTCCCTGGGCCCTGCAGACGAGCCAGGAGCAGCCACGGCGGGAGGATGTGTCTAGACGTGGCAGGGCCCCCACACACGTACCGTCTTTGGCCGGCTTCCGCTCAATGCTGTCGGGCTCCAGCTCCTCGTGGGACAGGAAGACCCTCAGGCGTTTGAGGGAGACGCTTGCCTGCACAGAGAGCAATTACAGGCTGGAGTCAGTCTCAAAAGCACTTCGAAACAGCAACGTGCAGTTCCACCGACTAAGCAGAAGGGAGCTGGCATTTCAGGAGGGAACCCCCGGAAAGGGGAACCCCGTCCGCCTTCACTGCCAAAGACTCCGCTCTTGCTGCAAGACATGTATGTTTTTTAAAAATATAACACAAAACCCGGTTGAGGGTTCTTGCTAGCCTTCCTCGAAAAGTCCATAGGTGGAACGTCAATGCAGGAGGCAGCGCAGGACCTTGATTACAGAGAATGTGCGGGATTTACGAGGATAGCAAACTTGGCAATGATCCGGGGTGACGGCTTCCCCACAGGACTAATGGAATGGACAGCGCTGCGCTACACATCTGAAAAATGTTGAACTGGCAAGTGTGTTAGATGTTTTTACAACAACAACACAAAATACTAAGTTAAACAAGCTAAACAAACAAACACACAAACAGCCCCAAATAAGAGGGATAAGACTCCTAGCAGCCAAATGCAGTCAGCCCTGCTTCACACAGCCCACCTGTCAGAGCCTCCTGGAGACAAACTGAATTCCAGCACAGAGTGGCTGTTGTTTTAAAGAGCCCTGGTGGCACAGTGGTTATGAGTCGGGCTGTTACCCGAGGGACCGAGACGTCTGCAGTTCAAAGCCGCGGCCACTCCCCAGGAGGAAGACAAGGCTTTCTACTCCTATAAAGAGTTACAGTGTCAAGGGCTCAAGTAGAAAGAAAACGTTTTGGAAAGGAGGATGGCAGCATATGTGCAAGTGTGCTGGACACAACTGATGCGTGGATTGTTATCGGAGCTGGAAGAGCCCAGATAAAATGATTTACTTAAAAACACACACACAGAACGAGGTACAGCGAGGGTGTGGAGGTGGCAATGTGTGTGTGTGTGGGGGGGGCGCAGCGGTTAAGCACTTGGCTGCAAACCAACAGGTGAGTGGTTTGAACCCCCCAGCGGTCCCCCGGGAGACAGATGAGCCAGACTGACAGCTCTGGACACCCTCGGGTGGGGGGGGCAGGGTGCCCCCCAGGGTCCCTGTGAGTCAGAATGCACTCAACAGGAACGGGTTCGTTTGGGTATTCTTTTAAAAATTTTTGTGATGTCTGAGAACGGAACAATGATGTCAGAAGAAACACACGTGGAAAGTACTGACAGGGACGTGTCAGGTGGTCTGGGATTCGCTTTAAAAGTTCTTGAGCAAGGAAAAGAGGGAGGGAACCGCGAAAGGGCTCCTCTCTCACTGCCGCGAGTCAAATACAACTCCCAGCAACCGACCACAGGACAGAAAGAACTGGCCCGACAGGTTTCCGAGATGGCAAATATTAATAGAAGGTAGAGTCTCCTCTTTCTCCCGAGGAGTGGCTGGTGGTTTTGAACTGCTGACCTTGTGATTAGTAGCCCGATGGTAACCCACTATGCCGCCACAGCTGCAGTGAAAGTGTTAGATGGAGCAAAGTGCAGTACATGCTGTCAGTACTGAATCAGTGGCACTGGCTTGGGGGCATGGGCGGGGGGGTCACTACTCTATTCTCTCTACTTTGGTGCACATTGGGGAAGTTCTCACAATAAAGAGTTTTCCTTTGGGATAAAGCCAACACACAGGAGACTCAGCAAGGATGCTTCATCTACAGGCCTGAGACTGGAGTTTTACAAAGTGGAAGCGTCTCACATGCCAAAGAATGTGAGAGATCCTTGCGGCAGGAAAGTGGTTGGGCCAACCCAAACGGCACAAAGGCTCACCGAGCAGACAATGTCTTCTCTGCGTACTGTTTAGAGATGCTAGGGGGTCTAATAAGGAGCCCTGGTGACACAGTGGTTCAGGGCTCAGTTGCTAACTGAAAGGTTCATGGTTCAAACCCACCAGCCGCCGCATGGGGGAAAGATGAGGAGGCAGCTGGCTTCGGTGGGATTTATGGACTTGGGAACCCTGTGGGGACGGGGAAGCTCACCGCTGTCCTATCCGGCAGCTGTTTCAAGCTGGGACCAACTTGAAAGCAGGCAGTTTGTGTATTTGGTGTAAGGGTCTACGAGTCCTTCTCAGCAAAACCAACGAGCTGCCGCCAAGTCCATCCCAGCTCACGGCCACCCGTGTGTCAAAGCGATAGGCTTTTCGAGACTGTGAGCCTTCAGGAGAACCACCACCATGCCTGTTTCCCAATGTACCTCTGTGTGGACTTGAACCCCCACGCCCCTGGCTTGGTTACTCATAAAGCGCTTAACCATGTGTGCCACCGAGGGACACCAGACAGGGTTTTTTCCAATGATGGGTCACTACTAGTAGATGGTGAAGCCCATTCGCTAAGGCAAGTGGTACGTTTTTATATAGTAAATAGGATAGTGCAGCCTAGGATAGGAGAGACCAGGGCAGGCAAGGCAGGGTGGAACGGGGCAGAATGCAAGATGAAACTGCAGAATGACTTTCAGAGCAGGGGTGGGGTGGGGGGTGGGAGCCTGGTTTCAGTATACATACGCAAGCACGAGGTTCCCTGCCAAGAAGTAAAATGTGCTTCCTACTTTGGGCATAATCCCAAAAGCACGAAAGCCCATTTCCTGGGAAGAGGTGAATGGAGAGCGAGGAGCACCTATTAGCGGTAATGAGAGGCTGGAGGTGGCGGGGGCCCGGGGCCTCCATGGACATGATGGGCCCGTCAGGAAGTGAACAGCGGTCAAGACTGTAGCATGAGAATGCAATCATGATGTCACTGGTGTGTGTGTGTGTGTGTGTGTGTGTGTGTGTGTGTGTGTGTG